GGTTGCTTAGACATGATTATGTATGATTAGTTCTTCAAGATTATGCAAGGTTAGTTGTGATCTACATGACCCTATTTGCTTATTTACGATTATGTTGTTTATACTTCTGGCATACATATTTTTTACATGTATATACACTTGTATATGTGGGCACAAAATAGTTTCTGTACATATGTATCTATATATTTATTTATTTACATATGCGCATACATGACCGTATATGTATATACATATACATATATATATGTATATACATACATGTACATGATGTTATACTTGATTATATACGTATGATTATCTCCACAGTATGTGTATATACATATACATATATATGTATATACGCATATATTTACATCAATACATAGATCATGAAATCAACAGTTGCGTTGGGTTCTATCACTTATATAACACACGTTTTTCACCATGTGTCTTTGTTTTAAGGTGTATTTGTTGCTGAAAAATATCCTAGAACTGGATGAATTGACAATTTACAGGACTCCCCCTACAACTCCGGGTAAAAACCGTGGTTCCTATAGGTTTTCCATGGAACCAATCCATTCATAATATCCCCATGGACTCGTGGGGCGTATCAATCATGTCAGGCTTTGCTTCAAGAAGAACTACTCAATGCGCCGGGGTGCCTACAGCCTATGGTTCAGTGGGAATCCTGACCTAGTTTTTTGCCCCCACCCGTCCCCACCAAAGATTAAATCCTGGATGCCCTTCTTTTTGGACTAACGTCTCTATTTGCAATCATTTCTCCATGTTTGAAGGGTTCTTGCTAAATGATCTCTATCCCAAGCAACCTATCATTGTCCGAAAATGCAATTCTGAGAGTAGAAAAGGGTTGGCAAATGACATACTTACTCACTTCTTATTTTTGTAATGACGATACAAACATGAAAAAACATGTTTGATTGTACCTTAGAACGCATACATACGTATGAAACTACAACGTTGCAGGTAGGTTCACTTGACACCCATTCCCATTTCGCGACCAAGGAAGGCTTCAGAGACGAAGGCATGATTCTTTCACCAAGTTGGAGAAAGTGATCGAAATTGGAGGACTTTTGTATATATATATATGTATGTATACATGTATGTATGTATACACCCTTAGATGCTGGGGTCATTCCGGAATTTCGGGATGAGAACCGAGTCTGCCTTCAGCTGCCCAACATGTTGGAGTCCAATGAAACCTAACCAACACTCATATATGTTCTACGAAAAGAAACTTAGTTTGTGATGGCCTCAAATGGACCCTGGCCCAAACTTTCGTGATTTTTCGGCGGTTTCTTGCTTTCCGTCGTTCGGAGGCTCCCAAGGAGACAGGCGCAATTTGGGGTGGAGAATCACAAGTGGGGCCTTGATTCCTCAAAAAACAATACAGTGCTTGGTGGTTTCAGAAATACGTTCGTTTGTTAATTCTTGATTTTAAAATCTCTGAGGCTGGAAATTGGAAAAATTGGAAAATTGATTTTAAGAATTGGATGCATCCAAAAATAAAGCAGAAATTGCCCAACATTGCGATTTTGGGGATAATGGCCCCAACTGACTCATCGTTTCTTGGATTAAAAGCGGTCGGAAGCTGTCGCAGGTGAGTCGGCACAGCCTGTCAAGAGCTTGGAGATTTGCGTTGTGGTTGAGAGATTCTTGTGGCCAAACATAGGGGATATTGATAGGAAGTTACTGGAATATCGTTGGAATCTCCATGGGATATTCATGAGGCATTAATGGAAAGCCTGATTTGTGGGGTCCCATAAACCAGCATAAACCCATATCATGGGGTAAACATATTTTGTTGCAACCTCACAATGAGGTCACTTTTTTCAGGGGGAATTATCCCCAAACCATCAGTAGCATATTCGTTATCTATAAAATTTATTGATATGGGTTGCTAATATTTAATTATGATACTATAGTCAATGGGAAACTACCATATATTTATTTAATCTGATACAGTATACTAGTTTGCCCAGATGAACATTGGTACTTTCCCATTAACTGGTGGTTCAATCTCCACTTCTGTACAGCAGTTGCGTGTATGAAAAAATGGGTTGAGTACCCCAAGTCATGGCCGTCATGGCCATTAAAAGAGAGGACACTTGGACGGTCGGATGGAATGGGGTGCTTCGAAGGTGATCAACCTGGCTGTCTCATCTTTGGACATGTTGAACGTGTTTGACCTACCAGTGATTTGAAGGCATCTCCTGATACAGTTGAACTATGTTGAACTGGCATTTCCAGCACCCCACTTTTTTTGCTGGCAGACTTCCAGCGCATGTTTTTTTCTTCCTGCAGCTGGTACAGCATCTGCTACTGGCACTTGCGCCGGTCGCTTTTTCCAGCGCATGCTATTTTTTTTAACCGAGTTCTCCCGGTCACACCTCAACCCATTGAAGGGTACCCCAATAAACCGCCAGAACTGGGCTTCACCCAAATTGCGAGAAGTGACCTTCTTTTTGTTTTTTCCAATCCGTTGTTTCATCAATGCTTGCAGCACAACGTAATATCATGAGATATGATATAATATATATATATATATACATAATATAATATAATATAATTTAATATAATATTATATAATATAATATAATATAATATATGATATAATATATAATATTATATTATATTTTATGTTATATTATAAAATATAATATAATATAATATAATATAATATTATATTATATAATATTATATAATATTATATTTTATAATATAACATAAAATATAATATAATATTATATATATAATATATAATATATTATATATTTAATATATAATATATTATATATTATATATATAATATATAATATATAATATATAATATATAATATAATATATAATATATAATATATAATATATAATATATAATATTTAATATATAATATATACTATATAATATATAATATATAATATATAATATATAATATATAATATATAATATATACTATATATAATATAATATAATATAATATATAATATAATATAATATAATATGTTATAATATATATATAATAAATTAATTATATGTAAATCAGCCTAGCCGAGCCAACCACGTCAGTTGGAATGTCTCCATCACGGCCTCATGGAAGCGTCCGCTGATGACGTAGCCCATCAGGGAGGGCACGCCAGCCGGGAAAGGAGCTGCGGGCATCGAAGAACCGTTGGGTTGTTGGATACTTGGGTAAACTAACATAGATGTGGAAAACCCACGGGCAACCCATGGAAAATCCATGGTTTCCTTAGGAAAATGATGTCACAAATATTGGGTTTTCTCCCAATTCCATGGGATTAGCATGAGTTTTTCCAACACTTGTCCCACATTTCGCAGGGGATTTATATAAACATCACCAAAATGGATGGTGGAAACGGTAAGCCAGGATAAAGCCTCCTCTTGTTGGGTGATAATTATTTGAATGGCACATTTCACTATCCCTGACAGACATGTTTGCTATTTTTGTGCGAGACATAAATCTAGCGCTTGGGTGAGCACTCGTATCCCTGTATCTGACTGACCAGCAAAAAAAATGACGCGTTCTGCTTCTTCTCCGATTCAATCCCAAGCAGAGCTGCCATGAGGAGAACAAATAATGGCATCAGTCTTGGAAAATGCGCAGCTTGCCCAGTCCTTGTTGAAAACAATAGAAGGCCAGGAACGAAGCCACGGTGGGAGATGGGAAATCTTGCCACTGTTTCTGTTGAGAATCAGGAATCTCAGCTGCTGTCTAAGGTGGTAAGGGGATTTCCATGGATTTCCTATCCCGCACTTGTGAGCCGTTTGGTTCATGTTGCACATAGGGCCAACCAGTTGAGCATTTTCTGAAAAACGGAGAGTCTCGCTCCAGCAATCTTTCTGAACCGTTGGAGGCTTGCCTTTCTTTACCAACAAGTCGAAGTTGGAGCGACTGGTGAAAGCCGAGCAGGAAGTCAGGGGTCTCCTGGGCCCATTTGTGATCCAGAAAATGTGAGGTAGTAGAGGACCCCAAAATACCAAAGGATCAGATCCGATGGTCCGATTATATAGTTCATTCTCCTCATGACACTCAGGATGGTCCAGGTGCCTCGCTCAATATCTGAAAGTAATCCGCGTCCTTAGCAATCTTGACGCACCCTAACCACTGAAATCAATCAGCATCATCTTCCAGTATAGGGTTCCAGACACTTTTCTGTGCTGGTGATTGTGCACCCTGTGCACCTGCAGGCTTTCCTCGAGCGGGCCGACAATGCTGCAGTCTCTTGGGCTGCACCACGGTCACAGCTGGTCCGAATTTGTCACTGGACGTTTGAAGGAACCGCAAAGTGAAGGCACCAACTCCTTTCAGATACATCTTGAATCATTTTGATATGCTTTGATGATACTGACACATGTATGTGTATATATATATATTATATATATATACTTGCACATACGGCACGTACATACATTGAATCGTTTTCTATGTATACATATGTATATATATATGGGTTATCCAACAGCTGGATTTCCCAGACAGCTAGTCACGGGGACGTTTGAGGCGGATCCACTTTAAATTGCAACCGATTTTCCCGAGGACAAAATCACCAGCAATCTGCCATATTTGGAGAGTGTGGTGAGGAGCGGGTCGGGCACGGGATCAGCTGTGGGTTTTTGAAAAGCTGGCGGTGTAATTTTTGATCCCTGCCATTTTGATGGTGATTATTGAGTACAGTAACATCGTTTTTTTAAAACATATGTACCCGTCTCATAGTCTTAGAAACGACATAACGACATCAACCCGTGAAATGATGTGAATGGCGCCAAAGTTTCACTAGACGAATGCTGGCAGCCGGATGGAGCGTGGGGAACTGCACTGGATGATTTCAACATTTCCACGGCACTCAGAAACAGGTGACAAGGTCTGGTAGAGCTGTGAATCAGTCAGCCCGACTTGGGTGTTGTTTGAAAAACGAAACTGATAAATTGTAATTGTATATAGCATTAGAGAGCAATAACACGCTCCACCCTCCTGGGCTCCAGGATGTGTGAAACGGTGAACGCCTGCCCTGAGCAGAAGATCTGGGCGGTGCTGAAACGCTTCACCGGTGAGAAGACCCTGGGATCCCGAACAGCTTGGAATGGATGGGAAAAAACAATCATGAATTGGCAATACAATGGCAATTTAATGGGTACACACATATATATATATAATATATATATAATATATATATAATATATAATATATATATAATTATATATAATTATATATATATAATGAATAGGAATACTTACAATGGAATATACAACTTCTAAGCACAACCAACAATATATTTCATATAATTCTGCGGTTGATTCGAAGCTTGTGAAAGGGTCACCGATTGAGTTTGGAAAGGATGCGTGGTATTTGTGCGTTAAGGTAACGTGACATGTCAACACGGATCTTGTTTTTGACTTCGAAGTACAAATTCGTATGTCGTTGCAACATGTTGCAACACAATGGTCATTTTTAATGGTTTCAAAACAACACATTCGAATCGATGTGTCAAAACCCCTAGCATTTGCCGTACACATACCGCTCCTAAGGACTGAGCCAACCACAATGGAGGTGATCGCGACCTTCCCGTCAGGTGGATGGATACTCCAAGAATGCCAATCTTTTGGTAAAATTTAGGGAAAATAGTAAGCCATTGGACTGCTGGGTAGAAAACCCTTTTTTGGACAAACCATGACATGCCTTGGGAAGTGAGCTGGAAATAGAGGTAGAAACCGTAGAAACCTGCGATTTTTTTGATTCTGCTGGCGGTGCAATCATCATCTGGTCTAGTTGCAATCCACTTTGGAGCTGCAGTCAAGGTCGCGTGGAGTTGCTTAAGCACAATAGCAATTTTTGGTGACATTCCAGAAGACCGGATAGAGGCATATAGAGACCAGATCCTTTATCATACACCAATGGATTAATCTTCAGAGTCCTAGCAGCATCACAAAATAATTCCGTTGAGAAACATGTCAGTCTACATCTACCAGAACATGCAAAGACATGTGTTAATATTTGTTTTTAGTTGTCTATCAATGACATATCAGAAACATCATTCGACAACAGTTTAATAGCATTTTCACTATTCACATCAACAAGGTTGGGCCCAATTATGTTTCTTGGTTTAGTTCCACCGCATGAATACCTCCACAACTACTAGTTCGTTATATCTACCATAGCACCCGGGCCCATTGATAGGAGTTATTGGGTGTCCGTTAAATTTCACATCATCAGCAAGGTGGGCCCCCCAGTGATGTTTCTTGGTTTAATTTCTCTGTAGTTATATCTGCCATAACACCATTGACTGTAGTTGGCCCACCGCTCATAGAAGGCCGTTGCGTTTTTCTTGTTTTTTGGTCTCTTGTATTGGTTTTTACAGCATTTTGTGTTGTTCTCGCCGTGCCTATGGTCCGTTTTTCAAGCTTTTTTTCTCCTATTTCTTGTTTTTTTGTTCTTTTTCTTTTGGGGGGGGGTTCGGGGGGGGTAATAACGTTCTTTCGCGTGCGTTCTACTTGACTCCGTTGTGTTGATGCTACATTGTAAATTTTCTTCCTAGACCTTTACACGCTCTTGATGCTACGTTGTGAACCTTCTTAGACCTTTACACGCTCTTGATGCTACGTTGTAAACTTTCTTCCTAGACCTTTACACGCTCGTGTAAGAAAAGATGATGATGATGATGATGATGATGATTATGATGATGGTGATGATGTTGATGATGATGATGAAGATGGTGAAGACGGTGATGGCGGTGATGCCGATGATGCACAAAAGATGAATGGACTCCTTAGTTGCGGGCAAAAAAAATACAATATTTTGCTCGCAGTTACACTGGTTTCTATAATGACAATATTTTCCCCAATGGAACTACACATGAAACATGTGAAATCAAAGACTGTCCATAAAACGCAGTGTAATTGCGTGATTCAATCCTATTTTACACCACGGCCGACTACGTGCGGTGGACCCTGTAGTTATAAACACCATTAAATATGGTTTTTATTTTGGTCATATCTACCATTCTACCACTGGTTATGTTAACAAAAGTAGCTACCATAAAATAGCATATAGTTATATGGCCTTTTTTTTATTAAGTACTACATATACTACTATTGCTACAATAACTACATTAACAATATTGACTATATTGACTACAGAACTCTACATATAATTAGATATATCAACAACAGAAACTATATATTAACTATATTTTAACTCTAGAGGAACTATATATTAACTATATATTATATTAAAATTAACACTATAGCATCTCTGGTTATAATCCATCGCTTCACCGCAGGTTGCCAGACCTGGATCAAATGCCTGGGGCACAACTGCAGCAGCAGCCGCGTGCTGTCGCTGGCTGAGGCTTCCGTTGCCCTGGCGGCGCAAAACTTGGAGTCCTCGCACCTGTGCTTTGGCCAAACCCTTGCTGGGTGGAGATCATCTCGATGTATTGGATGGGATCTATATTCATTGCATTATACATATATATATATTTACATGTGTATATATATATATATGTACATATATATATATAAGGTTTGGGCACAAGCTTTTAGCCCCACGCCCGATCAACCTTAGCGGGGGTTCCCCGCGGTCTCGCCATTGATCCGAGTGCTTCGTTGCGGACTGGCATTCGGCTTTGCTGTGGTTTGGTCGGTGTCCCAGCACCTTAATCCTGGGTAGTCGCTGCTGTTAGCTCAGCCGACTTGGTGATCAATTCGCTGGTTACTTTGTGTTGATTTTCCACATCGTTTAACTGCGATTTTTTGTGATCCTGCTTGTATTATTTGGTTTGGGCCTTTTCACTGGTTCTGCGGTGGCCAGACACCGGCCCTTGTGATTGGTATTTTTGCGCACAACTCCTGAACTGGTTTGCCCTGGGAGATTTTCATGCAATTTATTCAATTTTGGTGGATTTTATTTGTGATTTTCATTTATCCAGACCACGGCATCGACAGCCACTTTGAGAAGGAAGCATCGGCGTTCACGAGCCCTTGCGAGGTTTCTTTGGTGGCAGATCAAACACGGACAGAGACCAAGTGGTGCCACAACACTTCGTTGGGTGAGGAAAGTCTTGTGGAAACATCACTCCAGAGATCGACAATTCAATCGCAATATTCAACGCAGATTGGACGTAGAGATGGCGAGCCAGAACAAGGCCAACTCAGGATGGCTCTGCACCTGGTGCAGAGTCATGAATGGGAAGCATGCAAACCACTGTCACCGATGCGGGGGACACTGGCAGGATGTGGGAGATGGGTTCACCAGTTCCTACAAGTCTTGGCAGCAGGATCAGGACTACGAACAAGTGCAGTTCAACCAGTGGCCCAAATCTCCTCGGTACAAATCGCCGAGAGCCAAAGGCAAAGGCAAGCAGAAGGGGAAGGGCAAGAGTCCGAGACCCAAAAAGCCGCAGACGCCACGAGGAGAATATCCACAACAAGGACAGCACTCCCAGCCATCAGAGCCAACTGCAGTTCCAACAATTGCCCCGGGACTATCATGGATGCAGGCAGCACAGAATATCCAGACGCCTACACCAGTGATCCCAGGGGACAATGCAGCAGCTCCCATTCCGCCAGAGTACAAGTCGTTGATCGACACTCTGCGGAGAAACCAGTCGAAGGGCACTTTGCCCGAAGACGTACAACAAGAGATGAAGTCGATCCAAGTCAAAGAGGAGAAGGAGCAAAACAAGGAATTGAACCTTGCAGTAAAAGGTTTGAGAAAGGCACGCAAAGAGTTGCAAGAATCCTTCGAGGCCCGGTCGCAATTGCATTTGCAGTGGCGAAGCTTTCTGTCGCTGAGTGTTACCCAGTGGCAAGGCTTCACCAGTCAGTTCCAAGCGCAAGAGCATGCTGCGATGACGAGGATCTCCGAAGCTCAGCAGACACTGCGGGAAGCCAAAGCCCAATTAGCTTCCTCCAAGGAAATTGCAGATTTAGCAGCAGCCAATGCAGTGGAGAACGCTACGGCAGATGTCGACCTAGTATCCGAGGACGATACGTCCAAAGCCTCGGACAGTGCCAAGAAGATGCAGGATGGTATGCAAAACCTCACAGCAACTTTGGAGCAACTCCAGCAGGCGGCAGATGCAATTCATGCAAGCGAAATGGAGCAGGCCTCCAAAAAGGCCAGACTGGAAGGGCAGGAGGATGTGTCTGGATTGCCTGGGGCAGGGCAATTGACGCCTTTTGCCCAGCCCGGCACCAAGCGACCACAGAGTGCTGGTGTCTAGGGCGCGAGCAGGCCGGAGATGCTCACCTGATCGTATTGAAATGGACCCACTCGATCCTACAGGAGCCTACATTTTGTAGTGAATGGGAAGCGCAGACAAGAGCGCTGTGCCTATCCATGGAGTGCGGGACAATGAGGGACAATACGGTTCAGGCCAACCATCATGAGCACAGGCGGCCCCCCAAGTGTTCTCAAATGCTGCAATTTTCTGAGGTAGTGGACGTGTTCTGCTCCAATTTCCATCAACAGACTTGCGTGCTTGCACATTGCTGGCATGGACAAGTCCAGCAAACCATCTCCCAAATCCAAAAGAGGATTAGCCCTGTGAGTGCTCCGCTGTCAGTACCGCTGGCCGTGTCGAGCTCCAAGGCTGATGACAATGAACCAGACAATTTTGTAGGGATGCAGAAGTTTTCTGGTATCATCCAAGCCAATGAAATGGAGGCCCAACCATGGGATCCACAGAGACATGTGATGGGCGCTGATGAAAATGATGACTCAACCACGGGAAGTGAACCAGGTGACATGCCAGACTCACCTGGCGATCAAAATGGCGACCGAGAGACACCACCTGGTGAGCCTCATGTGCACCCACCAACTGATGAAGATGGTAGGCAATCAGTGCTTTTATATCACTTGAATGACATTCCTCTCCATGTGATGCTTCATTGGGCAGATTTTGCAGTGATGATGCGTGAAGTAGCACACCACTTTGCCATTGCGCGGGCTGACCTGTTGGATTGTCATGACATGACTACATATCCTAGCGATGTCCCTGAAGGAACTGTGCCGTTGATCGTTCAACTTGCCCGAGACATTCCAGTTGGCGATCCGTTTGTACTTGTTATGGTTGATATTGTCATACATGGACAGACGCATGAAGCGCACTTTCAAACTACACCTCAGTTCCGCAGAAGTGTGATGCCCTTGCCAGTCATGTTACTGCGTCAAGCCCTTCTGATCCAAACGAGACTTTTCGAGTACTGTAGGTTTGAGCACCACAGATGTTTGGTCACACATGAAGGGAATACATGGCCTATGCAAGAGGTGCTTCCACGTCGTATTCAACATGGCAATTATTTTCAAGTGATCGTGCCACCGCCGCAGTATTGTGAGGTAGCTACCAGAGATATGGTTGCCGACAGCAGAAATCTGGACGTTGAGGAATTTTGGAATAGATACTATGTCCCAACTCCTCCAGACCTGCAGGGTGAATCTGAGGAATCTGAAACTGATGTATCACCAAGTTTGCTTGGATCAGAGGACATCCGCAGAGAGTATGGTGATCCGGATGACCTTGATTCTGATGTCAATGATCTCATGCAGCGGCCTTCACATGGGAATCAATCGGCATCAAGTAATGATTTGTTGCCTCCTAGCCCTGATATCATCAATGTGACACAACAGATTGTCAGTGAATCTTGTGTTCTCAATTTCCAGCCCACCAATTTGCCTTGGCCGTACTGGCTTCGAGCCCTGTGCGTAGCCTTTGGCGAGGTAGCGTGGATTGAACGAGATGATGAAGGACCGGTTGCCTTTTTGACCACCTGGTATGCCGATTGTTCAGTGGTTTCCACTAGTGAGGTTTCCAGAGTTGTCCGCCTTGATACCCAACGCAACTTGTGGATCACTGACATCCAAGCAACTTGGCAAGACAAGATCCAAAGGGATGTTCCTGTTCATTTTGCGTGGGTCAATCCGAGACCTATCGAAGCACCCACTGTAAATACCATGGGGCATTTGATTGTCTTCCAGAATCCAACTGAAGTCAGAGCCCCAATTCTGATGAACTTCCAATTTCGTGCCTTGCATTTGGATGGCACGGCACATGCAGTTGCGGTAGTTCCCCATGGCATCACACCTGAAGAGCTTGCGCGGCAAGTAAATCTTGACCGGGTTTGCGCTGGAAGAAGATGCACGTTGCATAGAGGTACGCCTGGCAAGCGTTGGTTTGACACATTCACCACAGGAGAAGGGATCAAAATGGTCATCCCGCCGCCTGGAGAGCGTGCAGAAGATGAACTGCATTGTGGGCTAGGGTCAGTTATCCTGGTTGAGTTGGGACCCCTTGCAGTCCCCACGCCGATCCTCTCCATGCGACTAGAAGATCACCCCTCATTCATTCAAAACCTGCATGCCATTTGGCTACGCCATGGGCAAAGGGATTCAGTATTGTCTGAGCGCTTCCTTGAAGTCAGTACATGGTACTTGGATGGGGTATATGTCCCGTACAACGATGAGAAACGCAAGGTGTTGCTGGGAGATGATTTTACCACATGGGAACATGACCTGCGCAGAGCCTGGCATGATCTGGAAGATGCAAGTGAAGACATGCATTTTACCTTTGTGAAGCCTACCCCGCCTTGCAGCCCATTGAGTGAAGTGCACATCCTCCTTTTCCAGCAGTTGACTCAAGAACAGGCTGGATTGATTGTGACTAAATATGACAACTCTGTGCGACAAGGTGCGCCCTACACTGTTGCCGTTGCCTGTCATAACCCAGTAAGCAAGACCCAGCTTGTTGAGAAGGTTGGAAGAGCGGCAGATTGTTCAGCACCTGATACACATTGCAGCCTTTGGTTTGAGAGGCATCAAATCGGGGAAGATGGCCATAGGTTTGATCATGGTACGAGTGTTCAGGTCCATATTTACCGCCGCTTTCTCCCCTCGTGGGCATCTGATGAGGAAGATCTGGAAGAAAACGCACTTATGCAACAGCATGTGATCAGCAGTGGGACCACACCTGCAGCTGTGCAGAACGATTGCGAGCCATTTGTCTTCAACTCTGAAGCACCAGCTTTTACTCCTGGCCGACCACATATTGCCGCGTTGCCGGAGCATATGCAGGACATGCACGTACTGTGGAGCAGACATGCATCGGCCCATGAAACTGCTGAACGTCGGTCGAGTGTCCAGACATGGTATCTCAGCCCTGGACTGAACCGCATGCGTTGTGGATACTGTCGTAAAGTGCATTTGTACGAGGATTTCATGCAATGGGAATGGCGAATGGCCCAAGCATGGCAGGATGAACTTGTGCCAAACAAACCTGTTTTCTTTTTCCTCGTTCAGCCTACTCCAATTGCACTGGAACATGACGTTATGGCCCACCTCATTTTGGTTCAAGAGCCCACTGACTCACAAGTCGCCAGCTTGGTTACGTTGTTTG